TGATTTTCCAGATTTGATTGCACCTTATGACCTGAAATCTTCCGTCAGTTGGCTTAAGGAATCATTTTTTCAGGCTAAAGATGAAATAATGATCTTGCGAGATGAACTTGTTAAAACAAAAGAAGCAGCATGTGGAGAGATTGACCGCATAAGTGCATTACTTTCAATTGAATTACAGGAAAAGGACTATATCCAGGAGGAGTTGGATGATCTGTTAAGAAAACACGAAGAGGTCATGATAAAAGAGCATCAGGCTTCGTTGGAGAAGGCTCAAATCATAAAAATGTTACAAGAAGAATCTGGAATGATAACAGATGATGGAGGGGTCAGTGAAATTTCGTTGGACTTAAACTTGCTTGCTTACAGATGCTTTCAGAGGATAAAAGAGCAGGCCAGTGTTGCTGCTGAAGTTTCTAGTGAATACGTAGAATCTTTTGCAAAGGTTCAAACTCTTTTGTATGTTAGTCATCAGGATTTGATGCTCCATGATATACTCCTAGAAGAGGAGTCTTCTAATATCAGCAATTACTCAACTAGATTAAGATCAGTATCTCAAGAACTTAGAGAAGTGAAAGAGGAAAATGACTCTTTGCAGAGAGATATCCAAAGATCAGAGGAGAAATATGCCATGCTAAGGGAAAAGTTGTCCTTGGCAGTCAAGAAAGGCAAAGGACTTGTTCAGGACAGGGAAAATATGAAAAGTGTCTTAGATGAAAAGAACATAGAAATAGAGAAGTTGAAATTACAATTAGATAGTCTAGAATCAACAGTTGATGATTGCAGAAATCAAATCAATTTGTTGTCTATTGATACACAGCGCATTCCAGAGTTGGAGGCTGATCTTGATATTTTGAAGGGAAAATGCAATCAATATGAGCAGTTCTTATTAGAGAGCAATAATATGTTACAGAAAGTAATTGAATCAATTGATGGAATTGTTCTTCCCATTAATATAGTTTTTGAAGAGCCTATAGCTAAGGTGAAGTGGATTGCAGACTACATTAGGGAATCACATGATGCTAAGATATGTAAAGAACAAGAATTGGAGAGTATTAAAGAGGAATTAATTACTATGGAAAGTAAATTAAGAGATGCTTTAGCTGCTATAAACTCATTGGAAATTGCATTATCATCTGCTGAGAAAAACATTTTTCAACTTTCTGAGGAGAAAAAGGAAATAGAATCTAGTAAGATGCACATTGAACATGAATTACAGAAAGCATTAGATGAAGCCTATTCACAGTCCAGCAAGTCCGCAGAGACTTATTCATCCATGAACCTACTTCAAGAATCATTATCACAGGCAGAAAATAAAATACTTGCGCTTGTCAAAGAGAAAGAAGAAGCTGAAGTTTGTAAAGTCACTGTAGAGATGGAGTCTAAAAAAGTAAAGGAGGAAGTGGCTATTCAGACAGATAAATTGGCAGAGGCCCAGAGAACTATAAACACGTTAGAAAAGACATTAATTGAGCTTGAGACAAATGTTGCTTTGCTGAATGAACGGAATGCTGAAGCACAAAGTGCTATAGAGAAGCTAGAAACTGAGCGAAAGATATTGCAAGAGGAAGTCAGCTCTCAAGAGAGCAAAGTTGTTGAGGCAGTTGAATCAATAACATCTTTGGAAAATGCATTACGTAAGGCAGAAAGTAAAATTTCTATAATTGAAGGTGAGAGGAAAGATTCTGAAAATGAAATATTTGCTCTAAATTCCAAATTAAATGCATGCATGGAAGAGTTGGCCGGGACTAGTGGCAGCTTAGAGAGCAGATCTATAGAGTTTGCCGGCTACCTCAATGATCTTCATAAGTTTATTGCAGATGAGACATTGTTGACTGTGGTGACAGGATGCTTTGAGAAGAAATTTGAGAGACTAAGAGAGATTGATATCGTTCTGAAGAACACTAGTGATTGTTTTGTTAACAGCGGTCTAATAGGTTCTCATAACCATCATGCTGTTAAGGTATTCTCTCTCTCTCTTCTTCTTTTTTTTTTTTTCTGGATATCAAAGATCGGTAAACGACTAACTTTTATAGCTTTCGACAAGTCCATACAGAAATTATTCAGCATGCTGATCCGTTTATGCCGGTCTGTGTCTTTAATGTTTGTGTGTTTTGGTGCCTCCTTTGGCCGAGCTTTTTATGGCCTGTTTTTCTATTGTAATTTTATTTTTCTTTATAAAATGCAGCTTTCTCATTGGAAAAAATTCTGCATTTTACTTCTTTTCTTTTTGCTTTCTGAATGGCAGCCATTTGATGCTCTTTTGAGCCTATTAACAGTGGACACCCCCCCCCCCTTGGGGCACGTTGACATGTGTGCTTCTCGCATTGTAGAAATATGTGAAGTATTTAATTAACTATTTTCAAATATTCCATGTGGTTTCAATTTAATGATTATGTTCTTTTCTAATTTAATCCAGGATCCGCATGCTATGGAGTCCCTCTCTCATGAAAAGCTCCTTGATTTTGCTGCTGAAATTGAAAGTGGTAAGGTGGTTGTTGAAGGTGATGCTGGCAACATTTCTTCATCTTTTAGAAAGATTATGGAAGGAATCTGGTTAAAGAACAAAAGATTCACAGATTATTTTGAAGGTTTCTCCTCTTCAATGGACGGGTTTATGGCTGATCTGTTAAAAAAAGTTGAAGCAACAAGGGAGGAAGTAGTTTTTGTGTGTGGACACGTTGAATCCTTGAAAGAGATGGTGAAGAATCTCGAAATGTATAAACAGGAACAAGAAAATACCAAAGTGATGCTGGAAGATGATGTTTCACTTTTATTGTCTGCCTGTGTTGAAGCAACAAAAGAACTTCAGTTTGAAATGACCAACCATCTACTTTTCCTCGACTCTATTCCCGAACTTGACAACTTGAAGGATAGCATACCCATGGAAAGTAGTGAAACTAATGGAGCTTCAGCCGCAGAGTCTCCCGCAAATTCTACTAGAAGCAAGTCAGCTGCTGCTGCAGAAAAATTATTGGCTGCAAGTAGAAAAGTTCAATCTATGGTTAAACAGTTTGAGAGCGTCATTAAGGGTGCTGCTGCTAGAATTCAAGATACACAGCATATATTAGAAATAACTGAGGCAACTACTGAGAAAGTTAGAGAGGAAAGGGACTTGAACAAACATATGGTAGTTAAGTTGGAGGCTGATTTACAACTATTACAGAATTCCTGTGATGATCTGAAGCGTCAACTGGAGGTCTGTCAGGCAAATAAAGAAAAGTTGAAAGAAAGAGAGGCTGAAGTTTCATCATTGTATAGTAGTTTGGTGAAAGAACAAGGTAAACCCTTCTTTCTTCAAATATTTGGAGAAGTTTTCCACGACCTTTTTAATATATTCTGATTGCTTATTTATTTTTTTCGTTGTGGCAGAAGACTGCGTTTTGTCAGCAATGCAAATGAAAGCCCTCTTTGAGAAAGTTAGAAGAATCGAGTTCCTTTTTCAAGAATCAGAATATCAAGATCTGGAACAATATGATTCACCTGATGTAAAGAAGCTCTTTTACCTAACTGATTATGTTTCTGAGTTACAAAATCAGCTAAAATTATTATCTCATGACAACCAAAAGCTGCAGTCTACAGTGACTACACAAACACTTGCAATTGAACAGCTAAAAGAGGAGGTTGATAGAGCATCGAGGGATCATCTCGATTTAGAGGAGTTGAAGAAAGATCTCTCAGAGCTTTCTTATTCTTTGGAACAACATACTAGTTTGTTGGGTAGTAAATATAGTGGAGATTCTGAGTCCGATGGGTTGAAGGAACTAGTAAGAACTATAGGAAGACAGGTCCTGGATTTGCTTTCAGAATCTGAAAATTCAAAAACCAAAGTTGAGGAACTGAGTAAGAAGTTAATAGGTAGCCAAAAGGTTGTGGATGAACTAACTACCAAGAATAAGCTACTTGAAGAGTCACTTCATGGCCGGACATCTCAATCAGAGATCATAAAAGAAAGGGGCATCTTTGAAGCACCATTTCCTTCTGGATCAGAGATATCAGAAATTGAAGAAGCGGTACATATCCATATACTAAGTTTGAATTTAGTTGTCACAAATTACAACAGAGAAAAAAAAAACGTGAATTTTAAGCTATGGAATATAAATTGCTTGCTTGGGTCTGTCGAGATAGGTACCTACTATATTATCCGTAAGAAGTACAAGTAGGATACTGTTTTGTTAGATGTGCATTTCATATAAATGGTTCTCTTGGCAGGAAATTCCATGGATCACATCTTCTTCTGTTTGGTATTTTGCAGGGACCAGTCGGGAAAAGTACAATACCGCCTGTTCCACCAGCCTCAGCTGCCCATGCTCGAATGTTGCGAAAAGGTTCAACTGATCATCTTGCGATTGATGTAGAAACAGAATCCGATCGTTTAATAGGAAGTGCCATGGAAATTGATAAAGACAAAGGTTTGTTATAAGTTTTGCCTACTTGTTTGATTAGTTTCAAAACCTAAAGAACTTACACATGTCCTTTTTCAGGTCATGCGTTCAAATCTCTCAATTCATCAGGTCTCATCCCAAGACATGGAAAACTTGTTGCAGATCGCATTGATGGAGTTTGGTAAGTGCTAATTTTTCACGAGGCCACACTAATTTTTTGACAGAAACGCTTGCTTCACCCAAAATCCTGTTTGAATTATCATAATATGGTGGTAAACTATGGCCACGACATGATTACTGAGACTACTAGAATTTTCTCCCCGCCATATAGGAAAAATGATTACAAGACATTGGCAACTCTATTTGGTTACACATCCATTTTTTCTGAACTGTCAAACGACACCGTATACTCAAACTTCTACATTTTGATACGATACAAGTATCCCTGATCCTAAACCCTTTGCAGGGTCTCCGGCGGTCGAATTCTAATGAGTCGTCCAGGCGCAAGGCTAGGTCTCATTACCTACTGGTTCTTGATACACATATGGTTACTGGGAGCCATTTTGTGACCAAATATATGATCCTCCACCAACAAAGGGATTTCCTTCATGTGTCGGTAAATTGTATCATGTATATAACAACCATCCTTTTCTCTATTTTTTCTTGGTTCATTTATTAATTACATTAGATTGTGCCTGTTATCATGCCTATATTGATTCTCAGGACTCAACTTTTAGGAGTTCGGAGAACCCATATCTTCTTTTGTACTTGTTAGATGATAGATTGAGTTATATATCATTAGTGGAACATAGGCCTTCATATTTTCTTTTTCATTCAGTCTTTTCTTTTGTTGATATGGTCAATTACGTAACTTCCTAATTGTTACCAATGCTCCACCTCATTTCTAGTAGCTTGCTGTTTAAATATATATAGACTCAAGTTCAACGTGTTGTTTGGGCACTATTTTAAAAATATTTTTCCATTTTTTATAACAAAAATATGTTTGAACTACTTTGTTTTTTTCTCGATTTTCTTATAGATGCTTCTTCTGAAATTGTTGGTGGTAGTTTCAACTTATAATATATATTTTTAGTGATTTTAACATATCCTATAATATTAGCTTTTGCCAGTTATTTTAAATACAGTTTTTTTTTTTATAAATAAGATGATACTTTTTGTATTAATGATTATATTAAAAAAAAAAACTTCAATTTTGTTAATGTTGGAAATTCCATTTATGACTTAACGCAGCCATATAATAGTCAAGTCAAGGCAATATATGGTATACTTTTATAGCTTTTTCAGTTTACTTTTTCTAATTCTGTCAATTCTTTGAATATTATTTTTCTTGACCGACAATTTGTTATTAATAAAAAATATAATCTTATTTAATAAATAAAACAACCCTATACATTTTGTTATTGGCCGAAGATTAATACAGACTCAAATTAAATCTAAAATTCTCTAGTGCATTATGGTTATATAGGCATTAACCTTTTACATTATTAGAAAAAGAGCAACCATATGATTGTTTATAGTATAGTTGTCATTATTTAATACATTCTCTTGCTTGTTGCCTTTATAAATTCTGTTCACATTGGGCCATCTTTATTAGGCAGTTGCAATGAGCCGCCTATTTTGAGCCTCTCAAAGTCTTCTTCTCTTCATCTCAACGGTAAAACTCTCTTACGCGTTTGATAAATTGAACTTTTGTCAGCCACCAAACCAAATACTCTATAAGAAGAAACCCATACTTCCTCTTCTTCTTCAACCACAGCTCTTCCTCTTCTTGCCATTTTCCATTTGCTCAAAACAATCTGCAATCTTCAGATATGACATCAGTAAGATTCTGTTCCGTCCATTTTTGTGCTTTCTAATGCATGGTTGCCTTGTTTTCTTCATTGCTTTTGCTGGTTTCTTGATGGGTTGAAGTTGGTGTTGAAGCTGCCATTGCTTTCCATTTCTGAGTTGTTCTTTCTTGCAGGCTCATAGGGGTTCATCTCTGCCCAAGTTTGGTGAGTGGGATGAAAAAGATCCTGCTGCAGCTGAAGGGTTCACAGTGATTTTCGATAGGGCTCGAGACACTAAGAAGAATGGAGGAACTCCAAATAATGTGATACCACAGGAAAACCAAATCCAAAACCAATACCGAAGTAAAAATCATGAAGCTGCTAAGAAGAATCAGAAGCAAAAGTATCCAAGAAAGGAGGTATGTTATGTCATAAATGTCTAGTACTACTCGGATATACCATACTTCCTTTGTTTTGTTTCTAGTATGATTTTGTGTTAGATCCCAAAACATTCCTTATAAGGGTGTGGAAACCTTTCCCTACTAGACACGTTTTAAACCCTTGAGGGGAGGCCCAGAAGGAAAAGCCCAAAGAAGACAATATCTACTAGCGGTGGGCTTAGACCATTACATGAAAAATTTTAAAACTTCAACCAAACATTCTTTACAAGGGGGTATGGGGACCTCTCTTTAATAGACGCGTTTTAAAAACCTTGAGGGGAAGCCCGAAAAGAAAAGCCCAAAAAAGACAACATCTACTCACGGTGGACTTGGGCTGTTACATTTAAATACAAATTGAGACGGACATTAAATGGAGGGAGTATTCATACTCTCGTATTACCTTATTACCTGAAATTTTCCTTAGTTTGGTTATGTTTTGTTGTGTTGTGCTATGAGTATGCCTCATTGCAGCTGTGTTCTTACATTTTGCCAAACCATTTTGTTTCTTTCTTGCAGAAAGCATCGCATAGCTGCTTGTGCTTCTGGTAGGCTTCTTGTGGTGGGTTTTTAACTGCAGAGATTGATGCTTTGTTGATTCAATTGGTTGTGTATACAGTTTTCCTTTTGGTGTCTTATTTTTGGTAAATTTTTATGGGGTTTTCTTTCAGTTCATTACATTAGGCTTCTTGGGTTTCTTCCTTCTGTACTTAATCCATTGTTTATAGAAAGAAAAAGTTGAGTTATATTATTTTATTGTGAAATAAGTTTTGAATTTGGAGCTTCTTTTGTCAATGCTAATACATGGTTCTTTTGACATGGTCTTGTTTGATCAGCTAGATTAGGACTAATTAGCTTGAAATGGTCATATTTTGATCATCTAACCTATCTTTACAACTCATCAATTTGGCTTCTAGAGTTTCGTAAAGCCGTGTAAAGTTGTCGGGACACTATATTTTACTTTGAATAGTATACCACGAATAGAGTGAAGATTTAAACTTGTGACGTGTGATTACGCATGTTTAACTATATCTGAATAGCGTAAACCTAGTCATTGACTAAAAGAAAGCAGAAATGCTCGTTCTACTACCTTTTTCAAATTTACCTTACAAAAACAACATGCATGACAGACACTTCAAAAGATGTAATTTTTATCTTTTATAATCATAATTAGTCGCGGTGTATACGTTTTACTATGAGTGGTCACTGTAAGTGTAACCTCAAAATAAATAAAAAACCTTAAAATAAACTTTATAAATAAAAAACCTTAAAATAAATATTAATGAAATATATAACTCTAAATTATCGTCACCCAAAATTTATAATTATCTCAGAATAAATGAAACTTGATTTTCTTATATAAATTGCAACCGCTCGTAATAATTTGAACAACAATTTTTTCACATATTCTTGAAGTTTATATTTTATGTGATGTCTCGGATCATATCAATTACTCCCGAATCAATATTAAAAGCTTTTCTTTCTAAAGAGATTTAATTCAAAACTATTATACGCTCAAGATTCAATATTAAAATAATTTGAGAGATTTTCTTCGACTTTGTCTGTGTCAACAAACAGCTGAGTAAAATAGTAATGAGTCTTAGTAGCCATTAAAGTCCGCCTTCATACTGTGTGAGATCCCACATCGGTTGAACCTCTCCTTAGGAGACGCATTTTAAAACCTTGAAGCTGACGACGATACGTAACGGGCTAAAGCGGACAATATCTACTAACGGTGGGCTTAGTTTGTTACAAATGGTATTAGAGCCACCAGCGAGGACGTTGAGACCCCAAAGGGGGTGAATTTTGAGATCCCACGTCGGTTGGAGAGGGGAACGAAACATTCCTTATAAGGGTGTGGAAACCTTTCTCTAACAAATATGTTTTAAAATCGTGAGGTTGACGGCTATATGTAACAAGCTAAAACGGACTTAGGCTTTTACATACTGAGTCGAAAGTTCATCGCTTAACAGATAAAAGTTATTTTAGGGATAACAGACTAATCTTCTAAAAAAACTCACATTGAGAAGGTTTGAAATCTGGAAGTTATCTCTTGATCGCCTAAGAATGTAGTATGTTTCAAGGGTTGGAATTGTACATCAAAGTGATACATGAACTAGTTTTAGAACGTCGTGAGAACATATTGAGAAGATCTTTTCCTAATACGAGAGGACGGGGAAGGAAGCACCTCTAATATACCATGTCCACCTATTGGTAGCAAAATTTGGACCATATGATTTAACTTTTTGACACTGAATAAGAATCGAACAATAATCAATCGATTATTGCAGGGCGAACAATGGAATCAAAATCATCTGATTATGTCAAAATTTTCCGACGAATCAGACGATTTCTTCAAGCTATTGCTTCGTCGAATCGAAGGAAGAAAGTTACTCATCTTAACGGATGCAAAATGGCGCTCTGTGCCGTCGACGGTGGCTACCCCAGCGATCACATCGCGATAGATTTTGCTGCACATTGTATGGCTTTGTGAGTTTCTTTCTTCTGCTCTTTGATTGATTCTTTATTCGCGTTTGTGCCAGTTTCGAAGTGATTGCTCGTAGATTCTTTGCCCTAATGCGTAAATTTTGTTTGCTGGTCTTCTTTAGCTTGAAACGATCCAACCATTTCGCACATTGTATCAACTTCTTTGTTTTCTTGAATGAATTTATTTTTAATTCATTTACATGGAACTATCTGCATTTTCTTATTCATTATTATCCTTTAGAATTGAGCTAGTTGCTCTTGAAGGTTAAGCTCTTCTCACATTTTCTCCTGTTGATTTATGGCTGATTTGTATGTTCAAATTGGGGATTAAATCATCCCTCTTTCTTGCTTTCAGCCGCTTTGGATTCTAGTAATTCAAGTTTTTGTTAACCTCAATCTCCTGCTGTCAATTGTGGTCTGCCATGGAACTATTTCTATCGGTAACAGCTCAAGCCTACCGCTATAAGATATTATCCGTTTTGGTCCATTACACATTGCCGTCAGCCTTAGGGTATTTGAAACCCGTATTCAGGGAGATGTTTCCACATCCTTATAAAGAATGTTTCGTTCCCCTTCCCAATAGATGTGGGATCTCACAATCCACCTGTTTTGAAGTCCCCTTGTAACGACCGTTCTCCGACACATCGAATCACGAATTGTTACGTGGACTCTAGGATAAAAAGCCCTACAACATTTTCATTTGATAAAACGGGAGACACAATAAAATTAATGTTATCTGATAAGCATTAAAAATCCAAATAGTTCCAAAACTTAACGGGATCCGCGGAAACACAACAAAAGAAAAACAGTTACAAAATAGCATAAGTTTTCCAAAAATAAACATCAAAATGGCATTAAAACGACGTGGACAAAGAGGACTCGATTTAAGGGTCTCCACTGTAGCCGCACGACTCCACACATTCCCGCCACCGACATTGGTCTACTTAGCACCTGAAAAAATAGCAACAACATGGGATGAGTATAAAAATACTCAGTAATCAACCTACTTGTAGGCTATTATCGGACTTAATCCTATTCACGGAAACTTTGGCTATATGCCCGAATCTATCTCTAGCAAGGACTACTATAGTCTCAAAAGAAGACCCTGTGGATTCTCATTTATATGGATTTTCTTCCATACCGAACTATTTACTGAGCTTAAATCAGTGGATTTTTCCCTAGTAGTGTCTGGCCTTAACTGCCTGTTCCTGAGAATCAGTAACTACCTGTCACTACGCCCCGCCGGGCTGGGTCAGTAAACTACCTGTCTTACACTCCGATCGGGTTTAGATCAGTAAAAGGCCATGGGTCTCCCCACTAGGCACCCCTGACGTGGTACTATAGTATGATAATTACTAAGGCCACCCATATCTACAATAGGTGACTACTAAAAGACGGTAACTTATAATCTACGAAATTCATAATTCACGCTATCTAGCACATAGCAAAATAGTCCAATTCACACATGGGCAATAAAGGGCTATCCACACCCCAAAACAAAACAGCAGAAAGTATCAAGGCTCACATTGTACTTATCATGCAAATCAAGAAATAACAATCTATCTCGACTTCCTAGGAAACACATAAATCCAAACGCCTATCAGAGAAATTCACAATAATGCATGCGGAAGCTATATAACCCTAACTATAATCAAGGTATAAACACTCACGATATCGAAGTACCATAAATGAAACTAATGTTAACCAAACTCCTAAGTATAATACTAGATCATTTGCCCATACTCCAAACCGACTCCTACAAGCATTTCTTAGAACTTGCTCCATGAGGATATTACTTGTTGTAGACTTTTCGAGCTTGTTTCGGGTCTTCAACAAATTTCCAATTCGTTCAAAGATCTACAATTAAGTCCTACATTGAGAAAATATATCAAAACTATAGAAGTTGAGTAGGATTCGAGTTAAAAATAGTCCAAATTTAGAGCATTGGCCTCTGAACCGAGGGTCATGCATACCTTCGAGTCTAGTTTTGGGTAGTGGACCAGAATCTGCTAATTGGGTCGGGTCGGGTCCAACGGTTCGTTAAATCCAACGATCAGCTCCTTCCTTCCAGCGACCTTCCTTTCCTTCTTCAGCTTCTTCGACTCTTATCAATGTTCCCTTTTCTTTTTCCTTCTTATTTCAAAAACAGCTTGGTTCAACCCCTCTCTCGGATTTATTGGCCTCTCAGAAACAAGATTTAAAGAGAAGATTTTGGGTAGGTGGCAGACCTACCCACTGGCCTTTTCATATTTCTGCTCTCATATTTCTGTCCTTTCATATTCCATATATATATTTTTTTATTGGTACAGCTGGCTTTTCTTCATTTAATGCTAGCAATAAGAGTTATTACACCCTCCTGCACACCGCCTAGTGTCTAGCTCTAATACCATTTATAACAGCTCAAGCTCACCGCTAACAGATATTGTCCGCTTTGGCCCGGTATGTAACGGACCAAGGTGAATTATATATGCTAATGGTGGGCTTGAGCTGTTGCACTATCACTCTTCATTCTTTTTCTCATTTTATGGTTCGAGGTGCAATTTATCCCACCTTACTATATCTCTGTTCAGATATCTGTTAGTTTCCTCAAATTCAAGAGGCAAAGAAGGCGGTCTTGCTATATTTGGGCAGGTTTCAATACTTTTTTTCATCATTATTAACTTCCTATCAGATAGAGTTTTAAATATTTCTGATTACTTTTCTTCCCAAATTTTATTTTCCATTTCTTGCTTCATTGTGGGCTGAAGGTCCCCTCGGATTTGGTTTGCTGTTGAGTAGTCGCAAAACACAGACCTTCCAACTATATGACATTTTTGTAAGGTTAGTAGTAAACCAATAGTTTATGAATATTTTATTTTGTATATGATGTATGCGAGATCCTACATCGATTAGGTAGGAGAACGAACCATTCTTTATAAGAGTATGAAAACCTCTCCCTAGTAGGCGTGTTCTAAAAACCTTGAGAGGAAGCCCGAAAGGGAAAGCCTAAGTAGGACAATATCTGCTAGTAGTGGACTTGGGCCGTTTAAATCCTGATGAGAGAGTTTCAGAGACTTGTTCTAAACAATAAATATTTTATTTCTGGCTGCAGTTATCAATGTCAGGATGCTTCTGAATAACAGGTACCACATGAGGCCGCAGTGGATTGTTCCAATCATGTCTCTGCATATCCTATATGGGCTGTGGAAAGGAATAATTGTCTCAGCATCTTCAATTGGTATGGGGCCTCTGATTTTTTTTCTTTGATTAGCATAGTTTATGATGCTGATAAATTGATTGTATCCCATACCTCAGTTAATGGAATACGAAGGTGACAGTAAAATAGGATCAAAGTGAGTATTTTTTTCAAGTACTTCATGGTTTTGGCAATTCAATAATTTTCAAACAAAAAGTATCCAATAAATGAGTATCATGCTGAAGCTTGAAACTAAGGTTTTTGGTCAAGGTAACATGACTCTTTGCTGTTTTAATTCGGCGAGATTGAATTGAAATCATTTCTTAAAACGATATCTTACAAAACAGTAAAGTTCAGTATGTTATTATCATAATACTATTCGTTTCATGTTTTAATTGTGCACCTAAAAAAACTGTTTTTTTTTTTAACAAAAAAGTTGCAGATTAGCCCTGGATCAAGAGGATTGTTTCTTTCTGTCTCGCATTTTAAAAGGGCTTTTGCTACATCTTTGAATTTCTACTGGCATTCTGTTCATATTTACCTTGTATTTTCTCAATATCTCTGTCCTTTTATCATCAAAAGCTAATTAATGGAAAGAAGGGGTGCGTCGGAACGGTCGGTGGCTGCTTACTCTCATCCGAGAGTCTAATCTCTTAGTACTGTTTTTTTTTTTATCAAGGAAAAAATGGGGTCGATTTAGGCTCCTTCCCTTCCACTACATAGCTGCGCTAGCAGGTACCACGAGCCCTCTGTCCCATAGATCTAACCTGCTCGCGTGGTTCACCGGTTCTACTGAAAACTCTCATTTGTTGAAGGGAAGCATAATGCGCTTTAGGCACCGAGCGAGAAAGGTCTCTTCTTTTTCCTAATCTGAAGTGATATATGCATATATATACTACAAAACTCATCAATTTTTCACTTGTTCTTTGTTCTTCCAGGAGTTGCTTCTGCCTTTACTACGAATGAAATCCATGAAGAGATCTAGGACTCCAGGTTGCTTCTAGATTTCTGTTATTACTCGAGGTATGACGTGTGTGCTGCTTTATTATTGGGGGGGTGGGTAGTGGGGGACTCCTCCAGGTTGCCCCTAGCGAGCAAATTATTTCTTTCTTTTAGTCTCACTCAAATGGGTTCAAAGTAAAAGAAAGGGAATGTAGTTGAAGGAGAACTAAAAGTCATTAATCTCTCAACGTCAACAGCAAGGCAAGTTCAAAGTTGAAGGCAGAGTGAAGGTGCAAATAGATCATGTGATTGTCTTCATCTTTTAAAGATCTAAAACGAAAGTTTGTCTTGTTTTGAGCATCCATGATTTCAACGGTACTGTGGGGATGCACTGTTAGCAATTAATGTCTTGGAAGTAGCAGAGTTATCATCTTTTGCTCAATAATCTAATGGTCCTTCCTGTAAGGAGTAATTGCATCGGGGCTTTCATCTTGCAGGAGAGATGGTAGCTTTTGATGAATAAAATTGGACAGGTGAGCGATCTGAATCACGAACTAGAGCTTACCGCTAGCAAATATTGTCCTCTTTGAGCTTTTCCTTTCGAGCTTCCCCTCTAGGTTTCTAGAATGTGTCCGCTAGGGAGAGGTTTCCCCACCCTTATAAAAAACGTTTCGTTCTCCTTCCCAACCGATGTGGGATCTCACAATCCACCATCCTTCGGGGCCTAGCGTCCTCGCTAGCACTCATTCTCTTCTCTAATCGATGTGGGACCCCCAATCCACCTCCCTTCGAGGCCTAGTGTCCTTACTGGCGCACCACCTCGTGTCCACACCCGTCATTGGCACATCATCCGATGTCTGGCTTTGATACCATTTGTAACAACCCAAGCTCACCACTAACAGATATTGTCCATTTTGGCCCGTTACGTATCGCCGTCAGCCTCATAGTTTTAAAACGCGTTTGTTAGGAAGAGGTTTCCACACGCTTATAAAGAATGCTTCGTTCTCCTCCCCAACCGATGTGGGATCTCACACTCACCGTTTTTCAAGAACCGTCCAACTTCTCGGTAAAACATTGAAGCCAAAATTTCATAGAGTTATCTTGTACTTCCTTTTCTTACTGCCCTCCACTGAAGTTACTATAACAATACAATATATTTCCATTGTTTTCCTTAAAGGAAGGAAGCTCTGTGTCAGTTGTTTCTCTGATTTCTCCATTAATGTCGTATGGTTGGCGGCCATATCCATCTTCTGAGCTTTATTTAACCTTTGGAGGCATACTCACAGCCATAGTGAAAACACTTAGTTTTTATTTGACATTTGTAAAGCCCACTTCACGCCTTGTTTTGGTTGAAGGGACATGCATGAACTTCCAATAACGAATGAATGAAAATGACCATTCTTATGAAGTAGGTAATCAAACAGAGTTTCCTCTCTCTACTTTGTCTCTACTCTCTCTCGCCCTCCTTATCAAACCGATTATTCACACCATGATTGTAACATGCTCTCTGTTAGTTTCCTCTCAGCCAATTTGGCTTCTTGTCTTCTCCTTGCTTGGCTTCTTAATCATTCTCCAACGCTCCGCCGCCGTGGTCCGATGGGTTTACCGAGCCTTTCTCAGATCCCCCAAGGATCTGAGACGCTATGGCTCTTGGGTCATAGTCACTGGCGCCACGGACGGCATTGGAAAGTCCTTTGCCTATCAGCTTGCCAGTGCAGGCCTTAACCTTATACTCATTAGCAGAAGCTCAGCCAAGCTGAAGTCAGTTTCCGAGGATATCCAATCTCAGTTTCCTGATACAAACATAAAGATCATTGAATTGGACTTCACAGAAGATGATATTGGTGCTGGTATTGCTGAGATTAAGGAGATGATTGAAGATTTGGACGTGGGGATTCTGATAAACAACGTGGGAATTACATATCCAAACGCTAACTTTTTCCATGAAGTGGATGAGAAAGTTTGGATGGATGTTCTTAAAGTGAACGTGAAAGGCACTACTTGGGTTACCAAAGCTGTTTTGCCAAAGATGATTAAGAAGAACAGAGGAGCTATCGTGAATATTGGCTCCGGCGCTGCTGTTATTGTACCTTCTCATCCTCTCTATGCTATCTATGCTGCTACAAAAGCGTATGTAATAAACTACCCAACTTTTTTCTTCAATTTATTTTCTTTTACTACGTTCTAAGAGCCCCAAGTCCACCGCTAGCAGATATTGTCTTCTTTGGGCTTTCCTTTTGGGCTTTTTTCAAGGTTTTTAAAACTCGTCTACTAAGAAGAGGTTTTCATACCCTTATAAGGAATGTTTTGTTCTCCTCTTCGACCGATGTGAGATCTCACATTCCATTTCCCTTAGGGGCCCAACGTCCTCGCTGGCACACCCTTCGATGTCAAGCTCTAATACCATTTATAACAGCTCAAACCCACCGCTAGTAGATATTGTCCTCTTTGGGCTTCCCCAAAAGGTTTTTAAAATGCTTCTACTAGGGATTGGTTTTCATACCCTTATAAGAAATGTTTCGTTCTCCTCTCCGATCGATGTGGGATTTCACAATCTACCCCTTTTGAGGCCTAATGTTCTCGCTGGCGCACCGCTTGATGCCTAGCTCTAATACCATTTGTAATATTCCTAGCCCACTGCTAGCAAATATTGTCCTCTTTGGACTTTCTCTTTCTTTTTTTCTTTTTTGGGTCTACTAGGGAGAGGTTTACATACCGTTATAAAGAATGTTTCGTTCTCCTCTTCAACCGACGTTGGATTTCACAATAGGAATTCGTGATCATGGAGGGAAGAAAATGGAAAAGAAAATCAAGAGAATGAAGAAGAAAACTTCATCTCTTTCTCTCTCTTTCTGTGTGAAGAACTGTTACTGACATGTGCCTCCCTCACCACCCAATTGCTTCAGCAATGGCCATGTCTTCTTGTTTCGCCTCAACCAACTTTTGAGAAACTATTAAATTCTTCCCTGATTTTGAGATGAAAGAGTACAGTTACTCAGCAACTACCACGTCTCCTTGTTGGCACATGTCAGTAAGAATGTGAGATCCCACGTCGAATGGAGAGGACAACAAATCATTCCTTATAAAAATGTGGAAACCTCTCCCTAGCAGACGCGTTTTAAAACCTTTGAGGGAAAGTTCGAGAGGGAAAGTCCAAAGAGGATAATATCTGCTAGCTGTGTGACTTGAGCTGCTACAAATGGTATCAGAGTTAAACATCGGGCAATGTGCCAGCGAGGAGGTTGAGCTCCGTAGGGGGTGGACACGAGGGGGTATGCCAGCAACAACACTAGGTCTCAAAGGGGTGGATAGAGGGTCTCACATCGATGGGAGAAGAGAATGAGTGCTAGCGAGGACGCTGGGCGCCGAAGGATGGTGGATTATGAGATCGCACGTCGATTGGGGAGGAGAACGAAACATTCTTTAAAAGGGTGTGGAAACCTCTCCCTAGAAAACGCGTTTTAATAGTCTTGAAGGGAAGCCTGAAATGAAAAGTCCAAAGAGAACAATATTTGCTAGCGGTTAGCTCGGGGCTCGGGCTTAGGCTGTTGCCTTAACTTTTCTATTTGTGATATAATTGAAAAGCTGAAACGAAATCTTCCATTGTACCTTGTTGATGACAGAATCTGTGGTTGTTTTGCAGGTACGTGGACCAATTCTCAAGATCTCTCCATGTGGAATATAAAGACAGGGGAATTGATGTTCAGTGTCAGGTTAGTAAAGCTCACCCCCTCTTCTTACAACTATGTTTAGAGCTGAAATTTTTGTGTGAATTCAAAAAACCAGGTGCCATTGTATGTAGCAACTGAAATGGCATCAAGAGTGGCATCAGTGAGCAGAGCATCGCTGTTCATCCCATCGGCCGATGACTATGTAAGAGCTGCAATTCGCAGAATTGGATATGAGCCACGGTGCACCCCTTACTGGTCTCACTCTCTTCAATGGTGCTTTGCTTGTCTGCTCCCGGAGGCAGTTCTCGACGCCTGGCGACTGTCCATCGGGTTGCAGCGGAGGAGGAAGAGATCGGATGAGATCGGACGCCATGAAAGGGATTGAAGTTTGCAAACAAGAATGAAGGGCGGGCTTAGACTTGGAGATAAAAGCATATGATACAGTGAAATATTAAACTATCTTACTCATGGATGTATCCATGATGCATTGTTCAATAAGGGGTGATATGATATGGCTCGTTCAACTTGGGAAAGTTACGTTGTTTAAGCCGTTGTGTTGTCTTTTGCTTATAGTTATATAACGTTGCTTTTAAATTTTCGCTCATTCTTTGAAACTCATTTTCAAACATCTCTCAACCTCCGTTTTCTAAAACCTTCTTCTCAAACGGGGTCAAAGGCTTGAGCATACGTTGTTTAACCATAGGCGATGTTAATACAATTTGACTTAACTCTCTTGTTGAGGTGAGTACTGTACAATCGCAGAGTCCGTTGCCAAACCCAAAAGGACAGAAGGCAACTAAAATCAAACAACATATGAACCCAACTCGGGCTACCGACTTGATCCAACCTAAATCAGTTAAGTTGGTGCGAATCCATGTGGGCATGTATGGACCCAATGATTCACGGTATGTAAGGACCACGCCACGTCAGAAATTGAAAACCCTGTCTGAACCACGCCACGTCAGAAATTTGAGGTCCAATCAGCAATAATTAAACCAAAATATAATTCAATAATTCCCATTGGATTCATTCAATCCAGCTGTATTCCTTTTTCCTTTCTACAATTTTCTTCCCTTTTTAAAATTCTTAATTCAATTTAATTAAAACAAATACAAAAAAATTACCGAATCAGGACCGTCGGATCCTGTTCGTCGTTTTCCGGAAGACAACCTCCGTGTCCAATCCAAAGCCGTCGATCTTCCCGACGCGTACCACCGCCGATCTCCGAAACAGAGCCTCCAACGCCGTCACACTATACAGATCATTAGCGGAGTACTTATCCGTCTGCCGCGATAACGCCACGTGTAAAACGCAGACCCCGCCGGGCTTCAACGTCCGTTCGATCTCCGCCACGAACCGCTCCGGAAACAGAGCATGATCGAACACATTCGAGAATTCAAAATCGAAAGTCTCATTCCCAAACGGCTGATTATGAAAATCGCCGTGAATCACCAACGGTGGATACGGAACCAGATCCATTCCGATCGAATCCGAAACTCCGACCCGCCTCAATGCCTCCACTTCCTGCCCGACCCGAGCTCCGATGCACAGAGCTTTTGATTCCGGCGAGATTAGCCCTTCCCCTTTTAACCCCTCGAAGAATCTGGAAAAAACCTGGATTTTCCGGTCCCAATCCCGGGTCGTCCAGATCTTTCGGAGCTTCGGGTCGAGGGTTTTGTTTAGCTGCTTCTTTATGTACCGGTTGTAGGAAGTGTACCCAGGTCGGATCTTTAAATCGCCCGATTCCGGCTGGGGATTGTCGGTCGCCGCCGTGGAGAGACGGTGGTAGTAAGGGCGGAGTGATAAGAGAAGAAGGAAAGGGAGAGAGAAAAACAGAGATAAGACGAAGTATTTGGAAATCACAAGAGGTTTTGTTTGAGTTCCTTTCATTTCTCTCTGTTTTTTTTTTCTTCTCTCTCTAAAACAGAGGTTGTCTCTGTTCTTGTCTCTGTTCTTGCTCTGTTCTTCAAAGGAGCTTAAATTTGGTCGTTTTTTTGTTGACATTTTGCATGGGAATTTTTGACAAATAATGTCTTCACATGTTTTGATTTCATACCTTATAAAAATAAAATAATGAATGGGGTATGGTTGGTTTGGTGGATATTAATTATGATTATTCCACTAATATTTGATAATTCTCAATATTTAACTAAAATATTGTTGACACCCAGTGCATATCTAGATGGAGTGATAGTGACATACTTTTCGTGATATTGGGTGTCGGTTGGAAAGGGAAATGAGACATTCTTATAAAGGTGTGAAAATCTCTCATTGGCCAACGCATTTAAAAACTGTGAGGTCGATGACGGACGATACATAGCGAGTCAAAACAGAATAGGAAAGAAGTCGAGGGTCAAACAAGACACACACCGATCAAGTGCCACGTTGAGCACAATGCAAGTTCTTATGGGGAGACGACACTATTGCCTTTCGAAAACGAAGATGGAGATTATAAATCTCAAACCCATCACATTTAACCAACAGAGAGAAAGTTATCCTCGTTCCTTCTAACCACCCTTTCTCTGTCCGCATCGATTCAATTGATTCAGCGCCAATTGACGAATGTTGAACAGAACCCAATCCAACGCCGAGATGAGTGGCAGCAACAAGGGCAGCCCCTGGTTATCGCCCTTTGCCAGATCGCCGATTTGCTGGGCGGCGAAGGCAGCGTCGATGGAGCTCAGTGTGGAGAAGATTACTCCGGCGACGGCAGTTCCAGGAGGGAAGATTTGGCGTGAAGGGTTGGAAGGGAGGGAAGGGAAATGGGTCGTGTGGGTTTTGAGGGGATGATCGGAGTTTTGTTGGGGGTGAAGCATTTGGCGTTGAGGACCGCCATGGCCACCGTTGTTCTCGAAATTCGAGTGAGATTGTCATGGCGCAAAAACATATATGGTTTGGTATTTCCTTCCTTCTTTATTTCTTGTCTAGCATAAACTAATCGAGCTCCATTTGATCTCCTAAAAGCGGAAGCTAAATCCGTTGCAAACTATAATGTAAAATATGCACCGGATGCGATCTTTAATAGAATTCTACACCAGTGGGGTGATTGTAGGACAAACTCTAATGCTTGGGTTGAGATATAGAATTTTAATGTAGCAAAGATTCAACACGAGGAAGAGTTTCCTTTCTTTGGTTAAAAGATATGTCTAAATTCTCGTGATTAATTATTTAATTTTTAATATTTTATTTATAATTTAATATTATATATTATATAAAAATTCAAGGTTATTAATGTAATCTTGAACCGGATGGCTGACTTATCATTCCAATAATAACTTAAATGGTCTATAGTATATGAATAATGTTGGGTGTCTTATTCTGATAACACTGTTGATACAGTTACAAATGATTTGATCCAAATTGTTCGTGTGAGTGGGGTATCTATATAATGAGTTTGTACAAGACTGAACAAAAAAATATTTAATTTCTCTTTATAAATCCGTCAATTGAAAAAATTAATATTGTGGCTTGTCCTTTATTTTGCACGAGTGAAAATGACTTTTGTTGTCGATTCAATATGCCTACCATTTTGAGAGGTTGATAGAAACACTGAAATGTTTAATTTAAAACATAAAATTTGAAGGGTTCCAAATAATATTTAATATATTAGATATATTAAATATAAAGAATCTATTTAAAATTAATATTTAATATATTAATATATTAATATATTAAATAGATGAATAAAAATATTAATATATTAATATTTTATATTATATATTAAATATTGATACATTAAATAAAAATATATTTAAAATGTGAATGAAATTTAAATTAGTTAAATATATATCGAAATATTTTATAATATTTAAATATGATTTAAATAAAATATTATATTCTAATATATTAGATATTCAAATATATTAATTGACAAAAATTATAAGAGTTTAGAACGGCCAAGAGACCACTAATCTCTCAGGCTTCCTTTTGAAACTCGCGTTCTTTGATCTTTTTGAGATTTTCTTTCAAGAGGCTTCTACAAGCTTTAAGGAAGATCGTGTGAATGTGAAAGAACTTCTGTTTTGTTGGAATATTTCGAGTAGTCTTGCAAGCTATGGATTCTACAAAGGTAGAGTTTTTACTCTCGTATTTATTGCTTTATTTAATTATTAATAAAATCAAAATGGTTCGTAATGCTTCTATTATAAGAACGAAGAGTTCATTCCCTTCGTTTGTAGGACCCTTTTAAGATTTTTCTCAATTAGGTTAAGATATATGGATCATATCGATTTGGATCAAGACTCCACGAACATGGGCACATAGTGAGTATGTACAACTCGTACTTAGAGATACTATTATACTATTGAGGTTTTAGAGTTATTTGAGGAAGGTTGTAGGTCACATTTATTACATAACTCATACTTAAACGTCCACACTTTCTTTCTGTACTCACAGCTACGGTGTCTAGCTCTAATATCATTTATAATAACCTAAACTCACCGCTATAGATATTGTCTGTTTTGGCCCATTACGTATTGTTGTCAGTCTCACAGTTTTAAAATGTGTCTGTTAGGGAGATGTTTTCACACCCTTATAAAGAGTGTCATTATTGTTGACACACTGCCTCGTGTCCACCCTCTTTGGGCTCAACCTTCTTGCTAGCACATCGCCTAGCGTCTGGTTCTGTTATCATTTGTAACTGTCCAAGCTCACTACTAGCCGATGTTGTCTTCTTTAGGCTTTTCCTTTCAAATCTTCTCGCAAGGTTTTTAAACGCATCTAGGGAAAAGGTTTCCACAAACTTATAAGTAATGTTTCATTCTCCTCCCCAACTGAGGTAGGATCTCACATGAATATTCTTACACAAAACCAATAAGCTTTAGACTCATAATTCGAGCATCAGCGACAGAGATGATGCTAACCTCGGCTCAACTCAGGTGGTTGCATGGCTGTAATCATGACAAGTTTTTAAGACAACCCATGGGATCTGTGTTAGCTTCGTTGTTTAAAGTTCCAATCTTTAGAGGAATTAGAGCCGTGTGGGACTCGAGAAAGGCTCTGTTTGAATGCAAAAGAAAATTAATTTAAATTTAACAAATTATTAATATTTTATTTTAAAAATACATTTGGACTCCCTCCAGGTTCTAAAATGTTTCTACACCCTTGTAAATAATATTCATTTCTTCTCTACACCTGATGTGCAATCTTACAACTCACTCTTTTTGAGACCTAATGTCCTTCCTCGCACACCGTCTGGTATCGCTCTGATACCATTAGTAATAGCCAAAGTCCACGGCTAGCAATATATTGTCCGTTTTGGTCCATAAGTATCCCCATCAGCCTGAAAACGTGTCTACTAGGGAGAGGTTTCCACACCCTTATAAATAATATTTCTTTCTTCTCTACAATTGATGTGAGATCTTACAACTCACCCCTTTTGGGACCTAATGTCCTTACTGGCACACCGTCTGGTATCGCTTTGATATCATTAGTAAGAGCCAAAACCCACTGTTAGCAATATATGGTCTGTTTTGACCCATTACGTATCATCATCAGCCTCATGGTATTAAAACGTGTCTACTAGGGACAAGTTTCCCACTCTTATAAATAATATTTCGTTCTCCTCCCCAACCGACATAGGATCCTACAAGTATTTTTACCTCAATTTTTTTATAAGAAAATGTGGGTTCCAATCAAATTTACCTCAATGATGCCTAATAACTAGCTCACTGTAACTTTACACGGTAAAAATGAAATTGGGAAGGAGAGGAAGTGGTGAATTTGATTAAAAACCCAATTTTTTTATGGTAAAAAAGTAAAAAAAAACAAAGAATTTATGACACAGTCAAAAGCAAAAGGGTAACGTGTAAAAAAAACTGATCCCTATAAATAATGAAAAATCACAGAGAATTTCAGTTCTTTCTCTTACAGATTCACCATCAAACAGACACCTCATCTCTCCTCCTTCCAAAACTCATAGATTTGGAAGAACCATCATTAAAAAATTCCCTTTCATTTTCTTTTGGAGATGAACAATTCCTAAATCATCCTCGCCCTCGTCTTCTTCATCATCATCATCATCATCATCTTCCATTTCGAGTAGCATCTGATCCAATTAACCAAAAAAAACTGTGCAATTCTTGGTGGATGAAGTTGGGTTTTCATGGATTTTCGTTTCCATTCCTATGTAATTTCGTTTTCTCAATAAATTTCTAATCGATCTATGATGATCATCGAGGAATTTGGGAAAAAAAATTCAGTTTCTGCAAGTTTTTTGATCTGGGTCTGAGTAAATTTTTGTTTTTTTTGGAGAAAATCGTGTTTGATCGTTGTGGGTTTGGTTATAATCGTAAACCCTGTTATGGGTCGTTAAGGATTCAGGCTAATTGCTACCATTTCTGGTCATTTTGGCCTCTTTTGATCCATTTTCATCATGTTCTTAGTGTTTCTTGCTGTTCATTCTGCTACTCTTTCACTTGGGTTTGTCTTTTTAGCTTTGTTCGAGCTCAAATTGCAGTGATCGAGTGGTGATTTTGAGCTGGGTTGGGTACTTAGGCTCTAAATTCAACGAGTTTTTTTTCAAACTAATCCATTGAATGCCTTTGATTCTCCATTTGTTTGTGTTATGAGGAATTTATACAGGCTTGCTTTGTTTGTTCTGTGTAGATTTAAGAGTGGAAGTTTGTTGAACAATCGGATTAATCTAGGTAGATAATGGATGATTCTTCTCCCATGTTCTTGATTTACAATGAATCGGCTAATGTATAGTGATGTCTTTGTTCTATGTGTTCTTGAAATCTCAGCCATTTCTATCAAGTTTGGGCACTGCAGAGCCTTTGGCAGTGCCCATGGATGCCACGACAAGCGAAACGGCGCCTATACAATTCCATACCATTCCCGATCAGTCGGTTTCGAGTATCGTTACCAATCCAGCGTCGACATTTCCTTTATCGAAACACCATTGCTTTGGGGAATCCTGCCCCGGTGAATTCCCCTTAGCTGCTAATCCTTCTATTGTTCTTCATGTCTTGACAGCATGTAACTTGGATCCGAAAGACCTTGCGAAGTTAGAGGCAAGTTCTTACGTTTTTCGCTTGTTCGGGTTTACCAGCATTGTTGTGACTTACTCTAGGATTGATTTTGGTTGTGTGTGTGTGTTGCAGGCGACGTGTTCGTTCTTTAGACAGCCTGCGAATTTCGCTCCTGATTATGAATTATCGATTTCGGAACTTGCTGCGTTGGATATGTGTCGAAAGAGAGCTATATTTAAACCTATGACAACAGAGCAACAGCAAGGTTTGAAGCAAAGATGTGGTGGTTCATGGAAACTGGCATTGAGGTTTTTACTGGCTGGAGAAGCTTGTTGCAGAAGGGAGAAATTCCTGGCAATAGCTGGACCCGGTCATAGCATCGCGGTTACGTCGAAAGGAGCTGTTTACTCGTTTGGTTCCAACAGCTCAGGACAGCTTGGACATGGTACGACCGAAGAAGAATCACGACCTCCTCGCCTAATCAGGTTGCGAAATTCCCAACAAATCTTTCACCTGATACAAAGAGACATACATAGTATAAACATTAATGGACTCCGTGTTGTCGTGTTGGCGTGTTGTTGCAGATCCCTGCAAGGAATTCGAATAATTCAGGCAGCAGCAGGGTCCGGGAGGACAATGTTAATCAGCGACGCCGGGCGTGTTTATGCATTTGGCAAGGACTCATTTGGTGAAGCTGAGTATGGAGTTCAAGGAGCTCAAGGAGCTCAAGTCGTTACGACACCGAAGTTGGTCGAATCGCTTAAGGATATATTTGTGGTGCAAGCTGCAATTGGCAATTTCTTCACTGCTGTACTATCAAGAGAAGGTAGAGTGTACACATTTTCTTGGGGAAGTGAGAGTAGGCTCGGTCATCAAACCGAACCAAACGACTTGGAACCACGGCCATTGACGGGAGCCTTAGAGAACGCTCCCGTTGTTCAAATTGCTGCTGGATATTGCTATCTTCTTGCTCTAGCTTGTCATCCTAATGGCATGTAAGCTTCACATCATTATATCCTCAAGCAGCATTCCTGTTTTTAAGGTTTCATGTCTTTTCCACTTAGCACAGTCCATTCACAATCCTATGTTGTCAAAAACATCAGGTCAGTGTACTCTGTAGGGTGTGGACTAGGTGGGAAGCTCGGTCACGGTTCAAGAACGGACGAGAAACACCCACGACTCATCGAACAATTTCAGATTCTGAATCTTCAGCCAGTCGTGGTTGCTGCTGGTGCTTGGCACGCAGCCATTGTAGGTCGGGACGGTCGAGTTTGTACGTGGGGTTGGGGTCGTTACGGGTGCCTGGGACATGGAAATGAGGAGTGTGAATCTTCTCCCAAAGTTGTGGAAGCATTAAGCAATGTCAAAGCAGTTCATGTTGCTACAGGAGATTACACAACCTTTGTAGTATCGGACGATGGTGACGTGTATTCTTTCGGTTGCGGAGAATCCGCTAGCCTGGGGCATAACAATGGCGTCGCCTTCGCTGCCGCCGCCGCCGATGGAGAGGTCTCCCTTTCTCCTTGCTCTTACTGTCTTCTTTACTTATACTATATATATGTTACCATGTTGAATCGGGTTCCATCTAGAATGCTTTCTACGCCGTGCTTTGTTAGAAATTACGACTCTCCACAATAGTATGATATTGTCCACTTTGAGCATAAGCTCTCGTGACTTTGCTTTGAGCTTCTCCAAAAGGCCTCATGCCAATTGGGACTCCCTCCCAACAATCCTCCCCCGAACAAAGTACACTACAGAGCCTTCTCTGAGGCCTATGGAGCCCTCAAATAACCTCCCCTTCCTTCTCTAGAGTCCCCGAACAAAGGACACCATTTTTCGACACTTGGGTCACCTTTAACTACACCTTTGAGGCTCACAACTTTGACATGGCTAAGTGAAGGACGTGACTCTGATACCATGTTAGGAATTCTTGTATAATCAGCTGCATGCATGATCCGTTGAATTCTAAGACGTAATAGATTTTGTTATGGATGTTGTGCAGCAGGGGAATCGGCACCCTCACATTTTAAGCCCGGAACTGGTAACGTCTCTGAAGCAAATTAACGAGCGGGTAGTTCAGATTAGCCTCACTAACTCAATTTACTGGAATGCACACACCTTCGCACTGACCGAGTCGGGAAAGTTGTATGCATTTGGTGCTGGTGACAAAGGGCAGCTCGGAGTCGAACTTATGGCGAATCAAACCGAAAGGGGAAATCCAGAGCGAGTTGACATTGATCTAAATTAACCAAACAAGAACAAAGAACGAACTCAGTAACTTACTCTCAGCAAACACAGCTCCATTTGGCGTTTGAAATTATTAATTTGTAAATAGAAAAAAGAAGTTTATGGTGTTTATAGTCTTGTTAACATTCTATGGAAGCTTCAGATGGAGTTTATGGTGGATTTGGTTTCTTCTTCTCGAAGATTATAATCGACGGTTGAAATGAACGAAACAGTGGATTAAGATCTTAAGAACAAACGAAACAGCAGATCGATTTGGTAGAACAGAGGATTAAGATCTTAAGAACGAGATAGACAAAGAAAACGAAAGAAATATTCATCGAATACTTCAAGGCCAACATCAGACCAAATCGAATGGAAACAATCTCAATACCAGTAAAATTGACGTAAATTACGACCTCATTGTTGAAGAAAAGCTCAATTCGATCATCTTCAACCGCCATTGCTAAAGATCTGAAGCATATCAGTGGCTGAAATCCACTGCTACCAGTCTTGATTGAAGCTCTACAGTTATGGCCGTCTTCGTTTCAGATCTGAAGAGGTCAGTCACATCTTGTTGGCGGCGTTCGAATAATTCGAAGACCGCATGCAAAATAAATTAAAGAGAATATTTGGTATGAAATAAATTCAATAAATGATTTGTTTTATAAAATTATTATTAATTATATTATACGTCATAAATAGCCGAACAAAATACATAAAATTTATATATAAGATTTCATATTATAAATATAATGTAATAAACATTTTTGTAATCAGAAAATATACAAAAATCTCCCTTTTTTTTTTTGTCAATTTATAGTAATTATTTCAATCAACAAAATATAATAAATTATTGAATAATTTTGAACCCGATTCCCAAAAATAAATAAATAATTTTGCAATAATGGAATATAAAAAATGATGGAAAATCGAGAATATAAACATATACCATTCTTCAAAATCCCGACTCCACAAAAATAAATGGAGAATCTTGCAGTGATGGAAAATGAAACAGGTGATGGAGAAGACAGTATCGAATAAGCTTCCCTGTCCCCCGAGGACATTTCTATAGGTCAGATGTTAAATTTATATACCAATTTAAATTTTTATCCAATAATTAACATACAATATATATATAGATCAAGAGACAACAAAGAGAAGAACATAAACTTCTTTTAGAAACTTCAGCTCAGCTCAGCTCAGCTCAGCTCATCTAAAATTCACTGAAATGCTGATGATTTTATAGCATTCCTTGACGCCCAACGCCCATCTACTACATGAGAAAAGCTAAATTTGGACTAGAAAACCTGGCCATCAATGAAAGAATTGAAGTAATGAATCACATTTCGTACAAATTATACAGAAAACGAGATCATATTTTACACCTATGAACGGCTGTGAAGCACGTAACCTAACCAAACCGAACCGAACCGAACCGAACTGAACCGAGGTGCATGCTCTTCAAGGGGGAAACAGCAGAGCATTTGATCCAATAAGTCAGTACATTCCTTTGAAAACAGGATTAGTTCGGCATATGCTTGCACCGTACTCATCATATTCTGCTTTTGTATGACAAGCCTGTATTGAAATTGAACAAAATTAGTTCTTCAGTAGAGGAACTCATGAACTCATCGATTTCCAACGTTGCATACGAGATGAGACCATATGCAAGTATCTATTGTATCTAAGTTATCAATACTGTGAGATCTCATATCGGTTGGAGAGGGGAACAGAGCGTTCTTTATAAGGGTGTGGAAACCTCTCCCTAGTAGACGCGTTTCAAAAACCTTGAGGGAAAGTCCGAAATGTAAAAGTCCAAAGAGGACAATATCTGCTAGCAGTGGACTTGGGACTTGGGTCGCTACAAATGGTATCAGAGCTAGACACTGGGCAATGTGCCAGCGAGGAGGCTGAGCCCCGAAAGGGGGTGGACACGAGGCGGTGTGCCAACAAGGACACTGGGTCTCAAAGGGGGTGGATTGTGAGATCCCACATGAGTTGGAGAGAGAAACGAAACATTAGAGTGTGAAAACCTCTCCCTTGTAGACGCGTTTTAAAAACCTTAAGGAAAAGCTCGAAAGGAAAAGCTCAAAGAGGACAATATCTACTAGTGATGGACTTGGGCCGTTACAAATACTTTCTAAGCATATTAAAAGACTATTGATAAGTTCCCCAAGAGTCGCTCTGCGAACACTTGGGAAGTTGTCATGTCAAAGAACGACCGTTTCCGATAAACGGCTTGAATGGACAAACTCATTAAGAGATGTGCAATCTTCGCAGATTCATTTCTCCCTATTTTAGCAATTGAACGCGCCCTTCCCCAACCCACCAGACAAGAAAAGCACCTAACAGGGATCAAAATCGATAGCCCTTCCAAAAAACATTGTAATTGGCATATCATACTTTCATATAAGGGATATAGCACACATACCGCAAAAAACTCAGGAGTTGATGCAAGAACAGAACCTCCAAACCAGACGGCAAATCTCTGGATGGGATGGCTAACAACATTGACTTCCACTGGATGCGACTGAAAATGGGACAAAAATTACCAATTAATGTCCTGTAATACTATAACCAGAGTTTTAAAAAGAAAATCATGACAATTCTCACTTTTATTTCCCCTCCTAGTCTAGCTTCGGACGCAAGGATCCGGGCATCCACGATTTTCTTCAAGTCTCTTTGTAATCTCCTATGGAAGTCCTTGAACATAGTTGAGCCTCCAGATAGAACTATATTCTAAGATAAACATAAAATCTATTTAATAAGAGAAGAAGACTTTTGTAAAGAATACGAATCGACTCCATGTAAAACAGTCATGGAATACGTCTAAGCAGTTCAAATAGACTCACTCTAGAAAGGAGCCACTCTAAGGAGTTCAAACAGTCATGGAATATGTCTAAGCAGTTCATGAGTGAACAGAAGTGTATGGGAATTGGAACCCAAATGGCATGTTCTCCAGGAGCTCCTTGCTCCATGATCTTGCCACTCACAGGACCGAGGAGCCCCCCACTGTTCTTTGACAGTGTATGGACAGACCATTACCCAAAGAAAGCAAAATTCATTCATTAGGAGGTTAGCCACAAAGCCAGATGCCCACAACAAGCTACAATGTAGGATGCATTTCACGAGTATTTCGCAACACGGGCACTCCATTTGCAAAAACAACAAAGAAACACGAGCCATATATTTTTCGTACGACATTTTGCTCAGCAGTCATGGGGAAGGATCCTCCCTTATTTTAATTGGTATACAGCCCTACTAAATGATCCAAATCTCCTCGTTTACTCACTCGCAGGACACCCTGTGGCCATGCAAGAACAGTCGACGCTTTTTGCTAGAGCATTCTACTGGATTACATGGACGAAAAGAAATCAAAGGATTTTTCAAGGGAAGGAACACTTTTTTTATCATTATTTTATGCCTTAATTTACTTGTTATTTCTGATTGTAAATGCTCCCCTTAGTAAATGCACACACAATGTAACAAACATCCAAAACGTCTCCCAATAAAAACGACTAATATCATCAGATCGATTGTTTCATCATAATCAGACGCAATAGTTTGTCCAGGCTATTTTACCTTGTACAATGCTCTTCTGGTATCAATTGGTGCAGACTGTATACACCTGTCTATTACTGTAGGCAAAGGGGTGGTAAACTCGCTGCTATATATTTCAGGATTGAAGAACACCTGAAGATCAAAAAAGATCACCAAGTAGTTCAGCACTATCTGTTTATAATTAAAATTGCAAAGTGAACACCATAATAACAATAACTATCTAACCATCGTAGCCTAACCCAGACATGCAATTACGATATCTACTATGAAATTCATCGTGATGATATAAGCTAAAAGCAAACCTCAGGACCAAGAAATCGTTCATAGCCAATATCACAAGAGTACGGCGCGCCGGTCTTAGGTTTAATACCCTTCCAATTCTTTAGGTATTTGCCTGGCTCTCTATCGTGCTTATTGAACTCCTGCAATCAATGACACACAAACCTGATCAAATCATCGACACAGAGATATATCGAGAAGCTAACAAAACTATAACAGAGTAGGTTGAGAAGTGAGTTGTTTACTTTAAACTAAGTTATGATTGAAAGGAGTCTTAAAGAGGTGCTATTTTGATTTCTAGCAAGATTTATCAATTAAGTATAGTAAAGTTCCAACCTTGACAATGTCAGAACAGGTATAGCAATACATTTCCTTGACTTTTCTGGCCACTTCAAAAGAGTCCTCCGGTGGTACATTCTCTCCTCTTTCCTAAACAGAACGGTAAATTTGCAAGAGTTTGTGAGCCCAACAATAAGCAACGGCTCATTCCATAAACTAAAATTAATGAAAAATAATAAAATAATAAAACCCGACGTTCTCTACTTATATCCTCAATTTCGCTAAGCTTTTGATATCAACATGCCCAAAACAACATAAATATGAAGTACACAGATTGAACTTCAGTAACAATATGCACATTTCCAAAAAAATATGAGCCCACAAAAGAAAGTTCCATTAAAGGAAGGGACTCCAATTAAGTAAGACAAAACCTAGAGACATTAAACCTCACTAGGGACCACACCTCTGAAGGGTCCCTCTCAACATTCTATTGTTACTATCACTCGGAAGGCCCCACAATAAAGGGCACGCCTCAACTTGCCACCAAAACCTTCCCTTCTTACGAAAAGGCAAATGAAGGAGGAACCAATAATCATTTCCCTACCGCATCTTTGTCTGGCACCCTAAAAACCAAACCATCCAAAGAACAAGTTCCAGACTGACCATACAAAATCACAGCTCCACAACAAAATGATCCCGCCTTCCAAAAAAGGCATCTTTCTCACTAGGCTATCAAAAGTTTCACTCGTCCCTCGATACCTGCCAGGTGAATTCTTTGGAATTTTTACTTTTCACAAATGAGAAATATTAGACTCATAAGGCGGAGAGGGATGCAATAACTAACGAAAGAGCGAACTACAAGAAAAGCCCTCAGACATGCTAGAATTGGAGTAACAAATATCCCTCATCTTAGGCTTAAATTGAAACTTTCAATCAAAGAAAGAAGAGTTAGAACACTCATCATCAACTTCTCGTAAATGATAAATGATAAATGATATAAACAAGGAAACATGAAGCAGAGGGGGTGATCCCCTATCCAATTATCTTCATTATCTTCCCAATATGCAGTTCCTCCCCATTGCAAACCACACATCGTACTAACTCAGAAAAATAAAGGAGCTCTAAGGCTTTTCCTTTCCGAGGATTCCTGTAAGAACCTTTACCCCGCCTGACAACATCTGTAAAGGATGAGGATTGCTCGCCCACAATAATCCCACACCAAAGGCCAAAGGGAATTAGACTCAAGAGGGAACCACCAAAGCCATTTTTCTAACAGAGCTCTATTACAAACTAAGATTTTCAAGTTCTAGCCCACCAAGACCAACCAGCTTTCCCATCGTCTCTCAATTTGCTAGGTGCACTCCTCCCCCACTTCAACCCTTTCTCGAAGGAAATTTCACATAAACTTCTTAATAACCTTACATACCTTGCAAAGTGCACAAAAAGGGGAAAATAAGTAAATTAGGATACTGCTAAGCACCGAGCTAATGAGAAGTCGCGCTACCACCTTTAGAGAAAAAAAACACTTTGTTTCAAGAGGCCAGTTTTTTCCTCACCTTGTCCATAACCAGACTACAACAATAAAGGCTTCTAGGATTACTACAAAGAGGAAGAACCAAGTAAGAAGTAAGAAAGACACTGATCTCACACCCAACGAAAGAAACCCATCTACCCAACTTTTCGGCCTCACAGTTCAAACCTAGAAGTTGACATTTACCCCTTTTGATTCTAAGCCCTAACATAGTTTCAAAGAATGCAAGCACATGGTTCAACACATTAATAAGGATTGAGTGTTGAAGTGACCTAGTATAGCTCCAAAACCAAGATCTCCATTTGTTACAACTAGTTGGTGCATGCTATCAGATCTCGAGCAACAAGAGGTTGTCATAACTTCACATGAATACCTATTATCTCATTTTTACCATGAAAGTTACTTTTTACATATGCCACCGCACTTTTCACTCGATCTAAAGACAGGGCCACTAGTTAGCATTTCATCACAAGAATTAAAGAATCAAATAAGCTCGGCTAAGTATCAACAAGCTAGTTATCATTTCTTCACAAGAATTAACAAATCAAGTAAGCTCGGCAAAGTAGAACCAGGCAAAACCATGGATATCAGATCATCAACACCTCGTCTTAAAAAAAAAAGAACTCCCTCATTATGTCCAATAACATGGATGTGGAAGAACGAAGGATTCACACACAAACAGCACAGGTTAATCAGTCAACAGTAACAAATTGAAGGATCAAATAATGAAAACTTAGCAAAAGACATTCCTCTAAATAGTTCCATTTCCACATTCTGAAGGACTTTCCAGTAATAACCTGCTGGTGCCAGTGATACATAGATGAGGTAGTAGCAGTCGATAAGGACAGGGTTTCACAGTTGACCTCAAGCACTATACTGGATCCTCAAAACAATCAAAATGCAATTCTTAAACCAAAAGAAGACGAAGAAGAGAACTAACAAGAAACAACATACCTTCATGAGCTGATGGACAAAGAGTGTCACGTCTTTGCCAGCAATGGGAATTGACCTAATGCTGCTCCCAATAACATAGCCATCTGCAACAGGCACAATATGAGAAGCCCCATCTCCAATGTCCACTACAACCCCTGTCATCTCACACTAAGATAGGCTACTTGTCAAATCCATGAGCAAAAGATTAATGCAAATTAAGACACATAAAATAATATTCGCAATGAAAAAGATGATCACAACTAGGTTTCTTTTAAAGATTCACAACAGACATAGAAACAGAACGGTGGATCTTCAAACAGATAATGATAGATTCTGCCCTTTCCTTCAATAATTGTGAAGTGGCTTAATTATTATTATTTTTTGGGCAAAACGTTATGACTATTCAATAATTGTGAAGTGGCTAAATCTTTTGGGAAATGCCTTTCCCACAAAAGGAAAAAAGCAAGAAATACAAGTCCACGCTAAAATAGGATAAAGGGATCCTAGCTTTTTATTTTAGAGGCTTTACTAAATCAAAAAGGTGCTGTACAGGAATGAAGAAGTGGACAATTGCCATCATAATCAACTGTTTGAAGGAATCTAAAAACTTCTCAAGCAAAGCCTCCAAACAGTAGCAACTGCTTTGTGGGTATTTTAAAAAACACTTAATAGTTGCAAAATTTGTGCTTTTAATCATCTAAAATCAAGAACAATATTTAGAATTGTCTGCAAATTACACACCAACCTTAGATGTAGTATATCCGGCAGCAAGAGCAAGCACGGAATTGACAGCAATATAAAGACCCGGCACGTTGAATGTCTCGAACATGATTTCACCCGTATACTCTCGACTCTCGGGTGCCGTAAGGGGGCTCTCTGTCAAAAGAAAATAATGATCCTCCGGATCACATCGCAAATAATTAAACATGCACTGCTGCCAGAACCGCTCCATGGCATCCCAATTGTAAACCTGACCATTTCGAATTGGATAACTGAGATTATAAGTACTACTAGATCTCGACTTAGCCAGCGCTTCATCTCCAATAAAGAAATCAAGATCTGCCATTACACCAGCATTATGCTGCGCAAGCCAATTCGCTTTCGACGAATTTTTCGATTGGTTTAAGAACGATTCGTTAACTGCAACTACACTAGGAACAATAAAACACGGCTCTACATTGCCGGCAAACCCCATTTTAGTATATCTGAAAACGAAACAATAACAAAAACAAAAAGTTAAAAAAAAGCAGCATTAGATAGTTCAACCAAACAGACGTTACTCAACTACAAACACCAACATTAATGAAATTAGTAATCAAAGTTCATACTGGGCATTTCGTCGAACAAGTAATAGCCACCACCACAACCCCCTACCCCCCCACCCAACCAAACTCATAGACATTGTAGATAAAATGTTAAAGAATACCCGGTGCCACTGTCGATTACTACAGCGGGGCGAGCGGCAGCTGGGTCCATGCGGAAAAGGGAGAATATCGCAAAGCTCGTTGTTGTCGACGGTAATGAAAAGATTCTGGTAATGGAAGTGGACCTGCAACTGAGATCCGGAATAAGGTCGAAAACAGAGGAACATGGTCATCAACGGCGCTCGAATAAGCGCGATAGAACAAGATAAGAAGAAGAAGAAGGCGAAGACGTTGACGGAGCAGTATCAGACTTGGATCGCAAGCGAACGGAGCGACTCAACGCACAGCTTGATAACTTGTAATCAATTAACGCACCAGCCATTTTCGTTTTCAATCTCTAAGAACAATAAGCGAAATTAGTGAATCAAGAAACTCCGACAAACTTCATAATCATTGTTTGTCGCCGATGCTTTTCTTCGCAATCGAACAAAACGCAATCACTTAGGCGACCTCTGTGGGTTTCGGGGTTGGGGCTTTTGCTTTTGCTTTTTGGAGCAGACAATTTTGTCAGAAAGTATATATGTCATTTCTCCATTTTCCACCGTTGGATTTCCACCCCGAATGGAGCTTCCACAGCCGTCCGATCTCTTTTTCTTACTTATGGGCCCACTCAAATTCAAAAGACTCCGACATCCGCCGGCCCAATGGGCCCTCCTTCAGCAATACCGGATTCAGCTAATTTTTTATTTTTTCAAAAAATATTTGGTAAAGGCGCGCTATCACGTGAGCGTCCTGTGGCACGCGTGTCAGTTGTCATGGTCACGTTCGTCCAAGGTATGTTGCATGTGGTTGCATGACAGATATCTCGATCATACTTATTTAAAACGTGTCAATATGAGGGTGTATGACCGGTAACCAAAATCATGTCTACTGTACTATAGGGAGATGTTACGAATTACCCGTTCTTCTATCCGAGTTATATGCTAATAAAGTCGTTTGTTGTTACTTATTTGTTTTTAGCTTATAACATTGTTTTTTTTTATATTGTTTTTAACTTATTTCATCGTTCATGTTTTCTAAAAATTTCTCTCAAACGTGATTTGAAGCTCGAGCATAGCCTACTATTGTTGTACAGTCTGAATTTTGCATGGCTGGCTTGTTCATTAGGTTATAACAAATACCGCACAACCGCTATCTCGCTGATGCAAGAGAGCGATTTTGTAACACCAGACGCCCTTCAGTTGTAGCTCGTCCTCGACTTGCTTCAGCTTGGTATATCCGATGTATTTGACTCGGCGTTGACCTATTTGAAATCCCATACCCTTTCCTAACATTGTGAACCGTCTTGGAGTTTATATATATATATTTTATTGTTTTCATGAGAATTTAAGGTCAGTACGATCTCTGTTGGGTCAATCTAAATTACTTTTTAGCTAAAAGTTGATTTAGTTGACACCGTTAGATGACTTGAATTGAACATTATGCCTTACCTCGATGTCGTGAGTCCACATTGAATTGACTAAGAATTTAAGGAGCAAACTCATGTAAGTGTCGTTCGCTAATTACTTGATTGGACGACTTGTATGATGTATGGTAATACGTGTCTTGTGGCCTTGCACGTGTCATGGTTATGATTGTTAGCATGTGCTATGTCATGCTATGCCTTTGTTATAAACTATGCTGTGTTGTGGCATGTAGGTTAATGACGAAAGATACGACAAGTACTATGTATGCATGTCTTGTATGCTCATTATGTCATTAAAGAATGGAGGTTTGACTTTCATCATAAATTTATGCCATGATTTGAAACGATGGGGATCACATGTATTTATGATTAGTATGGATACGTACCTTGATATCTATATTTGCCATGATATTGCGCAAGCTCTTTCCCTCTGTGGTGTTTGGTAGCAAGAGCATGCACTAGCCCGATGAGCTAGACTCATGAAGCATGTATACGAGCCTGCTTGATGGATCCATATGCGCGTGTGTGAGTTATGTGTAGGAAAGCACTACACATTAAATTCTTCCTGAACTGGAAAGTAGGACCCAAAGTCATGTCATGATATTCTTTATGAAAAGATAGGTCACACCATGTTGCATGTGATTGCATTTTTCAAACTCCAACCGTAGAGTTACATATTGAGTATTTCTTAAAATACTCAAGCCACGTGCTACTTTTATTTTTTAGGAAAAGGCAAGACACCCTAGTACGGATGACGATGTTGCAGTGAAGATCATGTGACTGAAGCTAGATTAATTGCATTCTGGGCATTACTTTATTTTTATTTAAATTCTCTATATTTGTTTTCCACTACGTTGTTCATAACAATATTGTTTTAATTAATTTATTATGAACGTTTAACTTTATGTCATCGTTTATGAAATATCTTCACATACTTTTTTCGCACGTTTTAGACATGTCATGCATGTAGTGACGTCCATATTTTATTAGAATATTGTTACGAACATGGCCCGAGTAGACTCATATATAATAGCACCATTTATTTCTTAACCAAATAATGTATATATGTATGTATGTGTATGTGTATATATACATATAATGTATATATACACTTATGAAGGAAGGTGCAGCAGAATGCTGATAGCGGGAAAATATGAGGCAAGCCATACCCAAAATGGCGAGTGCGCGCTCCGTTGGTAGCTTCACGAGCTTACCCTATCGGCCCCGCGATGCTTCCAGCGTTTTCCGGCCACGGAGGACGGTGGTTCAGTCGAGAATGGGAGGGTCTGGATTCTTTTTCAGGGATACGAAATGTCGCCTTCTTCACAGCAAAACTGCTACATCAGCTATGGACAATGAATATTCCTCGCGCAAGCTTACCCATAGCTCACAGGTTTACTTTCTACTTGATTCAATTTCTTAGGATTTGCATAATTTTATATTCTGAGTTGATAGCCATATTCACAACAATAGCGAGTTCAGAAAAGCTTATAACTAATGGTGATTTGCTCATTCTCACTCGAAACCAAAATTTGTTGATATTGTTCATCAGTTGTCTTCGTCTTAACTCATAGCAGTACGAATATGTTTTGTATTTTCTGTTTTTGGAGTACAAATAGTGATGGATTATTCTGGTAGGTAGGTTGTCCAATTTGGTGGTGAAGATTTCGTGGCGAGATTATTGGACCGACAATGGGCGTTGGCTAACCCTGATTCCAAAATAAACAAAGTTATTCTATCAACTGAAGATACAAATCTTGAAGATTCACCAGCCAATCACTCGTGCTTGGCAGTAGATACTAATATTTGTACGTATAATGATCTGTCGAGAGCAAATGCTTCAGAGCAGTCATTCTATGTTGTTAGGGATGATTTGTTGCATCCGCTGATAAATGGCAACAAGGCGAGAAAACTAGATGGATTTCTACCTCTTATTGAAGATAATTTAGTGACGGATGTGGTAAGATTATATCTCTTTGGGCATATCAGGAAGCTCTTCTGTTGAATTGATTGTTCAAGAGCTGCTGTGAATGTTACTTCTATACAAGTTTCCATACATTAATATCTTTCTTGTTGGTTCCTTGGAAGGAAAAATGGTGGAATGTTGTAGAAAATAATGCATATGGACGATGATTTTTGGTCGTTTTTTATTTTATTTATTATCTATCTTTTGTGCTGAATAGTAAAAGCCTTTGAGGGAAAGAAATTCAATCCATGGTGACCATCTGCTTAGAATTTAGTACTCTAGGTGTTTCTTGGCATCCAAATGTGGTAGATCGAGTGTTTGTCTTGCGAGATTAGTCTAGGTGCGTGTTCACTATATCTTAAAAAAAGAATAATGGGATATTTAGATATTCTATTAGGTTAGAATTTATATTCTTATTTTAACTATATCCAAATTTTGGTTTAGTTAGTTACTTGTAATAGTCTAAGCCCTCCGCTAACAGATATTGTCCTCTTTGAGATTTTGCTTTCGGGTTTCCCCTCAATGTTTTTAGAACGCTCTCCTCCTCAATCGACGTGAGACCTCACCGTTAATCAAGTAAGTACTATAGATTTTATGAGCAGTGGATTCCTTAGTTTTAGGGATTTTTATTAGTTAGTAATTCCATTCTAGGCTGAATTGAATGACAAAGATAACAAGATTCATGTCTATTATCCTTTAAAATTCTGTCATTTCTTTTTTATTTTTGTTTGTGACATGATTATGTACTACAGTGCGACTCTGTGAGAGATACGTGTTTATTGTCTCTCAGGGTCATAAAAATATGTCTTCTTTAAGCATTTTATATTAAGCAGATAGCTGCTGATGATTGGCATTGATATCACCCTTAAATTTTTGTTTAGAGGATGCATTTGGCGCATAAGTTCATCTACATTTCTTGGAGTTGATGGAACCAAAACTCTTTATTTTGTTTAGTTTTGTTCGTAACTATGCCTACTCTGAATCATGCCACCTATTGTCCCGTAGGATCAGGAACAATACACTGAATTTGAACCATTTTATAGGTTACATGTGGGGGTTGTCAAAGTGCACATGCAGCTGCTACTGGTAGGTTCTTTCCTGTGTGAAAAACTTATCTCCCTTTCTTTCTCTATTCTTTGCACAAGTGTAAAACCACAAGTATATGATGTCAAGTTTTAGCGGAGTGACAAGAAAAAGATGGTGTTCTCATGCATTAGGGTACATTTGGTTCAGCTTCACTCGTGCCACGGTGCTTGGATGTTTTCTTAAATATATATATTTTTCTCCCTGCAAAATAATATATGTGCTATAATTGACTCCAAAAGACTTAAACTGACCCAAAACATATCTAAAAAGTGTAGAATATAGAACAAAATTGAGCCTGGTAGAAATTTGTTTCTGCGTACTGATTTTCTACTTTCAGCTGTTTTATGTGCAGAGAGAGGTCTGAGATCACATTTACTTCTACGAGGGGAGCAACCAGAACTCTTAACTGGATACAACTTAATGTCAACAATATATGGAAACGTCACTTATGTTCCCAGATCTATTTATGCCAACAGGGAAAAAATGCTCAAGACTCAAGCTGAGTTAGTGGCAGGAAGTAGTGGTAGTATCTTATGGTTCGATGATGTTTTTCAATCTTCTATCATGAAGCAACCGTGTTCTACTACAAATTCTCTGCCAGTTGATTATGATTTTCATATAAGGGCTAGAAAGTATGAAAGAAAGGTTGTAGTTATCAATGAAGGAGCTGGAGATTCAATTGCCTTGCTAGGTAACTGAAAACCATTCTTTCTAAAGTGAGTGTAGTCTTAATATACGTACACGTTCCATCAAGCATATATTACATATTGTGAGCATTGATATAAGTAAATTTATTATAACCCATCCGCTTAAACTTTTAGGTTGATTGATGATTTAACATGATATCAAAGTAGAATGTCTTGAGCTCGTAACCTTGTAATGTCATTTCCTTTCCAACTAATATTGTTTACTTGCCCGGTCTTCTACAAATTTTTAAGCCCACAAATGAGGGAGAGTGTTGGAGTGTTTAACATAATTAAATTTAGCATAATCTATCAGTTTAAAATTTTGAGTTAATCGATGAATTAACACCTATGTACTTTTGACCCTCAGCATGAGTGATTGTTTTTACATTTTTAGTTTTGGTCCTGAAATGAATTTCCGTAACATTGGATATGAATTTCGAATCTAGACTTTGTGGCAGCCTTTTAAACATTATGGCGAAGCATTTTTGTTTGTCGTTTTCCAGGATTTGTATTTACATGCTGCAGTTATATTTGAATATTTCTTGTTGGCAAACCTTGACTTGCAAACATGATATGGATAAAACAAAATCTTGTATGAAAATATGCCTTCCAGTTTGACTAACTCGATGCAACGATGTAGTTCTATGGTTTGTATGTACGAGAATGGCTTGATTAAATACTCATGCATAAATATGAACGTTGGTGGGAAGATTAAATAAAGTTTTTGAACTCTATTCTATTCTGTTTCACCTGAAAGTTAGGGGGCTAAAAAAAATCCAAAGAACTTGTGTTTTGAAAGTTCCTTAAATCACAATCCTGGAAAGCTGTAAACTTCCTCAAGATTATTTTTACTTCCATCTTTATTTAGCATGTTTTTATTTCGCTAAGGAAGCAATGTGCTTATCATAATGTATACCCTATTACTTATCTAGACCAAGTTTTTATTTGTTCGTATTTCTTTTCAGGCATTCTTTCCTTGCTAAAAGTTCACGCTTTTGTAGGTTTAATTCGATTGGTGAACTACCTTTCTCAGGATCATTTACTTGGGAAACAGAGAGCTATTAAGTTTGTCGTTGATGCCGGTACTGGGACGACTGCTATCGGTTTGGGTCTTGGAGCTCTATGTTTAGGGTGTGTACACTGATCAGTCTGGTGAAACCCACCTGGGAATTGCATTAGCTTCTAACTTCTACTAATTTCGTTGAAACACTCTTTCTCTGTCATTCCTGCTAGGCTCCCGTGGGAGGTAACAGCAGTGATGCTGGCTGATAGAATTGATGGGTATAAGCGGCAGGAGAAGCGTTTAATTTCTGAATTCAAGAAGCATTTTGGCTATCCTATTGGCCTAGGCGAGGATGAAGTAAATGGCGGAATTGTAAATTGGGTAGAGCGTTTCCGTCCAAGAAAGTGAGTATTTCGTTCTAATCTTAACCTCTTCTACCGTAGATTACTTTTCTCCAGGCTTGCATGTATGGTGGTATTCAGAACTGGCTCGGTGAGTTAATAGACCTGCAAAGATTACGTTTAAATCATATTCATTTTAGCAAAAACTTTAGGTTTCTAAACATAATAATATCGTAGTAATTGAATTAGCTGCGTCTATGTTATAATCTCTATCCCATCTTGTAGATTTGGCAATGTGCTGGATGGTGAAGTGGAGATATGCAAACAAATTGCTCAGGAAACCGGTATTCTTGTTGATCCTATTTACACTCTAGCTGCTTGGGAAATGGCTACTTTTCTTTCTCAAAAGGGAGCCAAAGTGAAAGCAGATGTGGTGATGCTTCACACTGGTGGTACCCTAGGCATGTTTGGAATAGCTCAAAGGTATAAATCTTACTTTAACAACCTCAAAAATGTTTAACAATTGTAGAATAATAAGTCAAGTTTTATAAAAACAATTGAGCTCTATCCTTTAACCTCAGCAATCTGTTTGATAATATATATGGCATGAGTGCACCATGGCAAGTTAATAAAATGATAAATTAGTATGCATACATGTGCATATACACATTTAGGAAGTAAAATGCACATTTGGACTCTGTTATAGCCATTTCTGTACATTCAATGTACTCTACGGATAGAGGAATACATAGAGTACTCTACGGATAGAGGAATACATAGAGTTGAACATAGTAAAATAAGAAATTGAAAGATTTCGTTGAAATTGTTCGTTTGGAAATTTCCCGAAAAGCTAATCATAGGTTCTTCTCTCCATCGGAACAATAGGGCCGTTATGCTCATTACTAAACTTGTTGAAGAGATGGAATATAACCAAGGTATATCTTTTTGATCAGAGGTTGAATCGATCATCAGAAGAAGAATTAGGCAAAAAATTAGGATACATTCTGAGAAAATAAAACTTCCATCGAGGAGAAGCAAATGAAAGGCTTTCATAAAAATTCTCGTAGAATCGAGAATGAAGTTTTCATTCTGTACATGCCAGATCATGAATTAGTAACTGCATCCAATCTCCAAAAAAATCCCAATTGTTTCGAACTTTCTCTTTTTGGAATGGAATATTTACGGAATCCCCATAAATAGGATCAAACTATACATTCTTTGGAGTTGCCTTTAGCTAATTTTTTTATCGGAGGGATGGTGTGAGATCCCACATCGGTTGGAGAGGGGAACGAAACATTCTTTATATAGGTATGAAAGCTCCTCCCTAGCAGATGCGTTTTATTGCGGGAAACCTCGAAAGGAAAAGTCTAAAAAGGACAATATCTGTCGGCAGTCGGCAGTGGACTTGAGCTGTTACAAGTGGAGATGGAGATGGGGTTGGAAAGAAGGGAGTCATGGTTAAAGAATGGAGTGTGGTGATGGTCATGTCTTGAAAATTCATATCAATGTAAAAATGTGCTGTGTGAACACTAAAATGCCTCGCTCCCTTCCTTACTTGCCTAAGTTATAAAGATGTCTCAAAAGATAAACCAACTGTTGATACTAGTTTACAGACGTACCTTTTCCTAGAGTGGTGCGTGTCATTGGCAGGGAAATAGTTGTAGCAGTGGTGGGTAACTGAAATGATAAGGTCCCTCTCCGGATGTTGTGGCTTAAATAACGTTAACGGATTTAGAGGTTCTTCCGAAGGACATCCTACTTGAAGAGGTTCGTCTCTGATACCATCCGTAACGGATTTAGAATCCTAGATCAAGGGCGTTAGAGATAGCCTTAGCATATCTAAATCATGTAGCCTTAAAATATCTGCACAAGTGCATTTGATCACGTTGCTGTATTGATCAATCATCTTCATTAACCCAAGTCTATGATAGTAAATGCAAATAAATGACTTTGATCTTAAGCTTTCAAACTGTCCAACCATATAATGTTGATGGAGAGGAGCCCATCATGAGGTCCTGTATGCATGTGATGGAAATACACACAACAAGGCCTGTATTATTTGTATTATTTGTGCAACGGCTCAAGCCTATTGCTAGTGGGCATTGTTTTCTTTAGGTTTTTTCTTTCGGATTTCTGCTCAAAGAATTTAAAATGCGTCTGTTAGGGTGAAGTTTCCACGTCCTTATAAACAATATTTTGTTCTCCTCTCTAACGATGTGAGATTTCACAATCCACCCTCTTTGGAGTCTAACATCCTCTCTAGCGCTCGTTTCTCTCTCCAATCGATGTGGGATCTCACAATTGATACCATTTGTAACAGCTCATATCCACCGCCAGCAGATATTGTCCTCTTTAAGCTTTCCCTTTCGGGCTCCCCCTCAAGATTTTTAAAACACGTCTGCTAGGAATAGGTTTCACCCTCTTATATAAAAAAAAAAAAGTGCTATGTTCCCTTCTCCAACCAAGAGATCTCACAATTTCGTTATCTTCTCTGTCACTTCTCAATCACGGCTTGTCCTCACAACCAACAGCCGACACTGCATTTTCTTGCAGACTGATGAACAGTTGGGAGAAAAATCTTGAAACTGGACCAAAAAACAATGCCTTTCAAACCACAATCAGTCATTGTTTAATGGCCTGCTACCTGTGCTACAGCCAGGACCCTCGAGTATTAAATGCCAGCCAAACTCTGGTTTGAACTGCACAATTTCGAAGGGAATCAGTCTATACGGAGATAAGCATGGAGATGATGATAAAAGCCTTATTGATTATATGAAATGAAATGTGATTATCCTATGGAGTCCCCATTGTCATTAATAAGCAATTTGCTTACATACATCACGTTTTTTATTTCCCAACTTGTCGAAACAACAAATTTATGGATCTCGGCCCCATGTAGTGAATTCGTTGGAAAGAACGAGTAGATCAAGGAGAATTTTTATTTAGTTAGGAAATGGGTAGCCATTGGCTAAAACAGGAGTGAGGACAATGATTATTCCTTTTTCCCGTTTTCGTCCTTGTCCTTGCCTAAAGTTCCCGAGCCCAATGATGTGAATCCGTTAGGAAGAACTAGTAGATCAACCTTCAACGGGGTGAGTCTCCATTTAAACAGGGAATGGAGAGCCATTGGCTAAACGGGAGTGAGGACAAGAATTATTCCTTTTTCCCGTTCTGGTCCTTGCCTGAAGTCCCAGGGCCTAATGAGGTGAATCCGTTAGGAAGAACTAGTAGATCAACCTCTTCAACGGGAGAGAGTCTCTATTGAGACAGGAAATGAAGAGCCATTGGCTAAACGGAAGCTAGGACAAGGATTATCCCTTTTTCCCATTCCCGTTCTTGCCTGAAGTCCCCGAACCCAATTATTTATTTGTTTATTATTATTGTTATTATTTTTCTTTTATTATTGTTTTTAAAAAATTATTTTTTAAATATTTATGTTTATTATTTTTTCTTAAATAATTTGTTTAAGAATAATTATTAACCTTTACGACTAAATAAATTTAAAATTTAAAATATTTATTAGTTAGAATTATTTTAATAGTTTGACTTAATAAAAATAAACTAATTAAAAACAATTAATTATCTAAGTAACTATGTGAATTAAAAAAATATTATTTATTTGTATAAATTTTTTTTATAACATTTCATTTCTTAATTTATTTATTTTAAATAAATTCAATTAATTAATTGATATTAGTTTAAAATTTTATTAGAAATAAATTAATAATAATTTATTTAAATATGTATTTAATTTATTTTGACAAAAAAATTTATTAAATAAATGAATAGTTTATTTTTTAATTATCTAAAATTAAAGAATATAATAAAATTACTAAAAATATATTATTTATATGAAATTTTGATTAACATTTATTCGGAAACACCAAACAAACACAATTATTTGGTTTTCAAGAATTTTTTTTCCCGTGCATTACTTCGTAGGTATCATAAACAAAATTTTGAACCAAAAGTCTTTCCCGTCCCTTTCTCCATCCAAGTCTAGTGACGTCATTTTCTTTCTCAATCAATATTAACATTAAATAAAAGTTTAGTAACAAAATATTTATTCTAATTCTTAAACCTAAAATAAAAATATTAAAAACTAATTTTTCTCTCTTACTAATATAATTATTTAACTTTTAAAACATTTTTAAAAATAACAATTTTAGTTTTTATTATTCATTTTTATATAATATCATGAACATTGAGGAACGTAAGTTGGTTGATGGACATTGTTAGACGAATACGACGCTCCACAATGGTATGATTTGTTCACTTTGAACATAAGCTCTTATAGCTTTATTTTGGGCTTCTCCAAAGAGGCCTCGTACCAAAGAAGAGAGTATTTTTTTATTATAAACCCATGATCATTCTTTAAATTAGTCCATGTGTGACTTTTATCGTCCCACAGACAATATTAATATATATATATATATATAAATATTGAGTTTGATGCTAATATAAAAATGATATTTTGAAAAGTTTTTAGATTTTTTTTTTCTTTTTTTGTAAAATGATTTGGTGCAAGAGAATAAATAACTTTTTAACAAGTTGCATTTATTTTTTAAAAAAATAATATTGTATTAAATGCAATATTTTATTATTTATAATGGATAAGTCAGCTAAGAATAGTAATCCACAAAAAGGATGAAAAGGTTAAAAAGGGGAAAAAGAAAATAAACCCATTGGTCAATATTAATATTACGAAAGTAAATGTCACCCCTCAAGATGATTATCAAATCAAACAGATAAAAACAAATAAATAAAGAATAAAAAAAAAAGTCACAAATTTAGTGGAAATTAATCAATAATTAAAACTTTAAATTAATCATAAAATTTAGAGTAATTATATTAAATATAATTTAAAAAAATAAAACTTTTGTATTCATGATAAAAAAAAAAATATTATGAGAACTAAATTAATAAAAATAGTCGTACACTTTGAATTTTATCCAAAAATATCCATAAATTTTTAAAAATTTAAATAATATTTTTATTGTTAATACTCTATTTAAAATTAAAAAAAGTATTTATAGGAACGACCAAACTTTTCTAAAAATTCCAAAACCTTTTCTAAAAAAAAAATTCTTTGAATTTTCAAAACTAATATTAAAAAGTTTTGAGATAATTTACAAGATGTCATTGATAAATTTTTTTTATGTTTTATTTTATTATTATTATTTTTAGACAGAGTATTAGATTCAGTGATATTTTTATTATTGATTTAACATATTTTAAGTTTTCTAAAAAAAAATTAAAATTAATTTTGAAACAAATTATTAATCACTATAATTTTTTTTATTTTAATTTTTTTTTAAAGTTTAAGAATATTATCGACCCTCATAAAAATTTAAATATATAATAATAATAATAAAAATTATTATTATTTTTTTTAATTTGGTGGTCCATTGGTGGTTTCCCGGCACTGCGATAGCCTAGAAGGGGATCTCATAAACACCATACAACAAACAAACAGATGATGTGAAGAGGAAGCTTCAAACAAAAGTAAACTAAGTATTCTCATAGCCGCGTTTGAACACCCTCCACTTGCCTGCTGTCTTCCTCACACTCCAAA